ATGGTTATTTCAATGAACTATGTAATTGATACTTTATGAACTCAGCGAGGGTTGTCTCAAAACTCGTTTCGCAAAGGCAACTGTTATGAAAACAAATTTACGAATCAATCAAAACATACGCGCATCAAAATATATCAGGCTCAACTTGTTTTCCCATCGAAAGGGATGGAATGGAATGGGATGTGATAGGATGGGAGGGTTCGCGGGAAAACATGGCTGCGGATGAGATGGAAAGGGAACCACCCTGTATAACGCCAACGATAGCCACAACAAATCAAAAACTATCAAAATTGGGTTAGGCTCGGCAAAGTTGCAAAACACCGAAGATCAAATGTTCTACAGATAGTAGAAAAATAATTATATTAAAATCTTGTATACAACATTTTAAAATTGTATACCAAAATAAATAAGCCGCGGCAATTATCCATTTCAATAATGTAACATCAACTAATATACTTGAAAAATCAAAAGCTGATCCACTGGTTTATTTGATTTAATAAAACGTAAATTAGTTCTTACCATTATAATATTAACTCTTTTTAAATCAGGGTATACAGCTATTAGTATTAAACAGAAGTAAAAATTTGATGGGGAGTCAGAGACAATTGAACTCGTGTGCTTTATTGCCTTCATGGGCCTAATCTCACCCGCTGATAAGGGTAATATAATTGAGGCGAAGGACTTCTACCTGGTCGGAGATGGAGATGGGAAACGCCTATTAAACGGCTCGCTGCTTCCGAATGAGATTTGTATTGGGTCAGGCCAATCTCATCGTCCTGCCAGACAGGGATGGCCATAATATCTGCCGGCGATGCAAATGGCGGCGATGGGAGGTCCTTGGATAAATAGCTCGTGGATGCGCAGCGAACTCAGCAGTAGCACTTCGACCGACAAAGCGAAAGGATCGCCCGAGGATGACTGACTTTAGCATCGAGTATATTTTGAACCGTGCCGGCGACAGATATGTGGGCACCAATGCCTCTTTGGGTGTCCTGCAGCGACTGCGTGGCAGCTTGGCCTTCCATCCGTATGCCCAACCAACGTATGTCCAACCATCGTATTCCCCCAAGGAGCCTCAAGGATCTCCTCCAGCTTCGGCGGAGGGTAAGATTCCTGTTTACGATTGGCTGCAATACACCCGCTATCATCCGCCCAAGCTGCCGAGGGCCCTTCGCCAAAGTGGACCCGCCAAGAGGACTCCCGGTCGCCTGCCCCGCATCCCCTTCACCCAGCAGCAACTGCAGGCCTTGGAGGGTGCCTACAAGGAGTCCAACTATCTGAGCGCCGAGGATGCCAACAAACTGGCCGAATCCCTGGAGCTGACCAACACGCGCGTCAAGATCTGGTTCCAAAATCGAAGGGCCCGCGAGCGACGGGAGAAACGCGAAAAGGACGAGAGCTGCGACTCCACCTTCTCATCGAATGCCTCCAGTCCGGAACCGGAAATGCTCGTTGTGGCTTAAGTTGGAATACGATCTATACTATCTATTCCACCATGGCTGTTACTGTGTAACTTCTCATGGGTTAGCTCACCGAATTTAGTGGCTTTCTGTAAAAATATTTATGTTAGTATAGGTTAATCATAATATGTAAATACAATAGAAGCATCACAATATAAAATTTATAAAGGCTGAATTATTTGAAATTTATTGGGTGTTTATTGGTTTTTAAATTAAAAAGCTATCACTAATTACATACCATAAACTTTATATCGTATATTTAAGTGATCGACTGTAGTTTTTATTTTGTAATGAAATAAAAAGTATATACAAATGGTAATGATGAAATCTTGAAATAAAAACCAACCGAAGTTAGAATTTAATGCACTGGAAATTGATACAGAGAATTTACTAGGATTTTCATTGTTCATATGAAGGATATTTATTTTAAGTTCTAAGTTCCTAAAAAATATTTTAGTGCAAAAAAATATCTTTTTTTTTAAATAAATTAAGCATATTAACTACTTATTGTAATAAATTGTTTATGAATGTCGGTTAAATGAACAGTTCAAAGGAAAAAATATTAACTAAAGTCTAGCCTATGCCTATCTATCTTTCTGTCCGTATACACGCAGAGATCTCACAAAAACAAAACTGTTTAAAAACACCGATTTAATTGTTAAATCGGATACAAACTATAAAAAAGATGTTGTTGCCAAAAGATATAATTTTACCTATGAAAAAGTTAAGCCACACAGAAAAATAGTTTTGTTACAATTTTGTTTGTGATGTTACTGTTCATCAACCCTAAACTGAAACTAGCTTTCAATTTTGTACTACATTAAAGAACATTTTTGTTTTTCTATAACCAGACCAAACTATTACAATCCACCTGATGGAAATTGAATATGGATTAGGTAATTTAATATTTCATTGCGGAAACTGGTTGACTTCACTGGATTTGTTTCACACGGGAACGTTGTATTCGGATAATGGGATCAAAGACAGCCGACCCCACAGATATGATAATATGTTATGATGTGTGGCCAAAAATGGAACCCATATGGGAAAATATTCTCAAAAAGGTGAATGAAAATGAGGAAAATCGCGTGCCGGAAAAACAGCAAATGGCGAAAGGAAGAATGAGGGCTGGCTAAGCCGATTTTGCAATTGTTGCCGTTGTTTTATGGTCAAGAGTAATTTGTTTTTCCGCTGCCTTTGTTTGCAAACATGCTAAAATATCAGATTACAAAGCGGCAGTTCCTTCAGAGAGAGGGGGATATGGTTGCGGATGAACTTCCCAAGTCCTGATTCTGCCACAAGGTCTGGAAAATTAGTTTACGCAAATCTAGGAGATGTCTGCCCCTGATCCTAAGCTAATCCGATCATATGAGTAGGGGATAGCTGGGATATTCATACCGAAGTGGACAACAGGAAGAGGGGATCGAGGATAGCATGTGCCATTTAGTTATCTTAAATGAGCATCGAAAGGTGGTCACCCTCGAAGGGTTGAATATAATATCAAATGTCGTACCTACTATCACAGTACTACTTCAATTTGCAATTCTATATCGATCATGTGTACGTATATATATATCCTTTAAAAATTTTCCAAAATCTCTTTTCTAATGTCCAGACCCTTATAGGCTCCTGAACAATCTAAGCCGCACTCATTAGACGCAGATAATTCGTCCAAATTTGTCAAATCGGCTTATGATTTGCATTCTATGACGGAATGTTTATGTTACTAATCTAGTCCTGTTTGACAAACAATGCGGCAATATTTATTCTAATGGCGTAGAATAACACACAGCCCATAGCCTGTTGGGTTCATTCTTGTGTCTTTTCCTCTGCGGATTAAACAAAGGACAAGCGCAGGCGCATGCGCATTTAAAAGGAGAACTTCAGAGAGGCCCACAAAAACTGGTTCAAGACGGGCGCGGGAGGACTAGTGGCGGGCTTAAGGTAATTCCCATTTTTGCATAGATTGAGGTAATCGGGGTATGCTAGCTTAAAGGGGCGTCAACCAGACTGGCCTTTTGCCATCCTTTTTGTAGAAAGGAGCACAGGACTCAACAATTGCATGTTCAATGAAAATAAGCTAGGCTACCTTGGGGTAATGAAAACTAATTGTCTAAGAATTAATTATAAACTAGTAAAAAACAATAAGCTGGCAAAATAGTATATGTTATATTAAAAAAACTTGGCTATTTTACACAATTTATATATTTTTAAATTATAAAAAGAAATTAGAAAAATTATTTTCATCCTCGAGATTTAAAATTGGAGTAGAAAGATCGAGATAATATTTATTTAAAGATTTATTACAAAGTAACGACACTTGTCTGGATGCTTAAACTCGAACTGACAGTTATAAAATACCAGCTTTGAAAAATATACCAATCGACAAGAACTTGGTCACGACTGGTCACACTTTGATTTACCAGAGCTGCCACCTTTTCCACTTCGGCGCTGCCAGACGTTCAATCAAACAGTTTATGGTATATTTTTAGTATATTAACAGTATATTTTCTCCCCCTGCGGTCACACTCGCGCCATCTTTCTTTTTCGGGATCCGCACACCAAGTCAAGAGGTAATCCAGTGATTTTTGTCGAAATATAATAGAAAATGATACAAATAACACAAAATTACCTGTGGAATGCGTGTACGGGCGATGGCCAAGTGTGCGGGGCACCAAGTACCCCTTGGAAATAAAGTGATAAAACCGAAAAATAGAGTTCTGAATAGCACACGGGAAACACGTGTGCCAAGCCAATATGAAAACTAATAAATGCATGGGGCATGGTTATCTTGCAGAGCGAATCAACATGCAGCTGTTCGTCCGTGGACTAGAGACCATCGAGGCCCTGGAGGTTTCCCAGGATGCCACCATCGCCGGAGTCAAGGTGAGTTCCAAAAAAAAGCTTGTGTTCAGGGCCGATCCTAATCTATTTCTGGTCTCTATTCGCGCCCTCCAGAACCAACTGGCCCAGATCCATGGCGTCAACGCCGAGGACTTCAGCCTCGACTGCGAGGGCACCACCATGGCCAACGATACGCCCGTGACTGCTCTCAGCTCCTTCGAGCTGGACCTCAACATTCCCATGCTGGGAGGTAAGGTTCACGGTTCTCTGGCTCGTGCCGGAAAGGTCAAGGGTCAGACGCCCAAGGTGGAGAAGCAGGAGAAGAAGAAGAAGAAGACCGGACGCGCCAAGCGCAGGATCCAGTACAACCGTCGGTTCGTGAACTTCGTCCAGGGCTTCGGCCGTCGTCGCGGCCCCAACGCCAACTCCACATAGAGAGTTTCGGTTGAACAAGTGTCTAACTTTAACTCCAGATTGATATGATGTTCATAAAGTAATTTCAAACCTTTAAACAAACCCCGTATGTTGCCCATTTTATGTGGTCAGTTGGAATCTCCTTCTAGGTGTCCAGCATCAGTCGCCTTTTTTCCAGAAAAATTTAATTTAGGCAGTCATACCGCGAAATGTTTGAAAATGATTTGAGTTTTAACTGGTTTACAGTAGTTAAAGATTTGTGATAGCATTTTTATTGACTTCTTAATAATATTGGGTAACCAACAAGTTTATGAGCGAAAGAAAATAACTATAATTGACTTATTTATAGTTATGGCTCTTTTAATTTATTTAAATGTTGTGATAAAACACTAGATTATAATACGTCGAGTTTTAGAGATGTTTGGAAAGCACTTGCCTTGACTGCAGAAAGTTACTAAAGTTTTATAAACTCCATGTAAATAGAAGGACCACCAGTATTGAACTCCTAACTATTCAAACCACATTTTCTAAAGGTCAGTTAGTGAACTCGCGCCGTTTGCGACTGGCTCGGAATCGACGGTAACCCAATTCAAAGCAGCCACTTACAAAGGCCACCGTAAAGCCCAGGAGCAGGACCAGGAAGCAACCCTGCATGTCGTCCATGTTCACCTTGTGGTTTGTCACCTGCCGTTGGGCGCCCTTCCCACTGCACTTGTTCGCACTGGGCAGATTCATCTGGTGCCAGCGCTCTATGAAGCCCATGCGGAACATGCTGTTGATGTGGCGGTTCACCAGATGCAGGTACGCACTCTGCGCCGGCACAATCAGGGCAATCTGCTCGTCCACGAAGCTCTCCTTTCCCAAAGCAAAGTGGCACTCCTTGTTGCGCTCGAAATGCTGCTGCACAATCAGCTGGAGGTTGATCCGCCAGTCGATGTTGATGCGTTGACCCTGCTTGACCGCCTCGATGTCCTCTTCCTGGCCATTGCCGTAGATCTTGGCCTGTGACAAGTAGTGCTTGAAGTCCTCGCGGGAGGTCGTCTGCACGTACCGCTCGAAGAAGGTACCGTTTCGCAGGCCGTACTGTGATATATCCTTGTGGCGCTCCAGCTGGTTGAGATAGTCCACGCCCGGCTGGAACTTGGGGAAGGTGAGAAAGGCCACCAGGTTGCCGCAGTAGGTGGTAACCAGGACGATTACCACAATCCACCAGAAGCCCACCACCAGTCGGCCACTATCGGCTTTCGGCAAATACATTCCTCCTGCAAAATGGGAAACAAACTAATCATTCAATAAATCTTTGATGGCGAATTACAGAAAAGTATGTGATGTGTTTAGAAATGTTCTAAATTTAATTTAATTTATGGTTTGTTTTCTATTGTTTCTATCTTACCAAATACTAGGTTATAATTAAGTCTAAAGATACCGAGTCACAACGAATTTAAGCACTTACCCTGTTGCAACAAGGCTCCAAATATGTACCAAAAGCAGCTCTTAATCGTGGACAAGCCTGCGATTTGCATCTCCTTTAGGGGAGTGAGACGATTGATGGCATACAGCATGGGAGCCGTCAGCAGGATGATGCCCACCAGGCAGAGCCAAGTCTCCATGGTGAAGGGAGCAGTAAACAGATAAATTCGGGACACCTCATCCGGCTTGCGGGTGATGAAGGAGTACTTCTGCACACTGATGGGAATGGTATAGTTGAAGGGCTTCTGGTCGGGATCTTCCACGGTGGCTGCCACGGCGGCGATGAAGAACTGATTGTTCTGCACCATCTCCACTACGCGGTAGGGAATCCGAAAAGTCATCGAACCAATCAACTCATCCTGCAAACAAGAGATTGCAGAAGGAGTAGCAAAGAAAAATGTGGAGAGTCTCACGCTTTCATTGGTGCTTGTTGACGAGCTAAGGAAATAGTCTTCTTTCAATGCGGCGGCTTCATGAAGGTAGTAGCTGAAATTCAGGGCCCGACTGAGCTCCTTGATGATCTCCATGACTATGCCCGAATGCTTCACGATGGCCCCATTGCTATTCTTGGTGAGAATTTGCCAGGGAGGATTCTACGAGCGATTTGAACCAATAATAAGAAATATATTCCTGGCTCAAAGACTCACGTGCACGGTCACAATGTCCATGGTGATGTTGCGGAAGTGGTGCTCTATGTGCGGGAAGGCCAGTTCCTGGCAGACGAATCCCAGCATGGGACTCCAGTAACCAATGTTGATGAACTCGAAGTTTCGGTTCTTGGCATCGCGTGTGGGATCTATAGATATCCAATCTGTGAGTGGGAGTGATTTAAGAGAGGAAATCCTGTACAAACCTGTACGGAACTTGCGATGCTCCTGACTTTTGCCCCAAGTAATGGCAGTTTCTATGCGCCATCTTGCGCAGCTAGAGCACTTGGAGTTGGCCTTTAGATATTCCTGGTCAAATGGAAATAAGGACATGAAGTATTCAAAAGGTATTTATGCAAGAATAGGGTATGGGAATAGGGTAGGATTAAGGATTAATTTAAAGATGATGCCGTAACATAAGTTCCATAAAGGATAAGTTTGTTCATTTACGTTATGTTGTTAGTAGCAAAGTACCCCTTTCTCAGTTAAAATACTTACTTTCATGTAGTCCAAGATCTCGGCCTGTTTCTCCTGTTTGGTAAAGCGAATGGACTCCCACTCCTCGTCTGAGATCTCGCCGTATATGAACTCCTCTTCGACGGTCATCCTGGAAATGGAGGTCACCAGGGCGAGACTTACCTCATTAATGGTGCAGTTTAGTGTGTACTGACAGTCGGGACTGGTTTCATTGAGGGCGAAGGCTATGTTAGCGCCCTCGTCCAGATTTATGGTCACTGCGTCGGGGTCAAAGTTCCGCGGGTCCTTGTCCAGCACAAAGAACATCCACTGGTTGCCCACGTGGAACATGTTCAGGGTTTCGCCTATTTCGATAATGTCCTCGTGGAAGGCGGATACCACTAGGAACTGCTGGCGCATCTCTTCGTGCTTGTTGGGAGCGAATTGCGCCAGAGCTCGACGAAGGGTAGCTCGCTTCTGTTGGCCTCGGAGGGAATCATTGATTTTGTAGAGGATCAGAGAGATGGGAGAGATGTGGTTGGTGCTGCTCTCGTGCACAATCGATTTCACCAGGACCGAGTTATCATCCACTTTTCCATAAATAGAAAATATTAACGAATCATTGAAATGAGTTTAAATGTAGACCACCCACATATGGTTTGATCCACAAACACCACAGCTGTTTTCCAGTTAAGAATCTGCTGGACTTTGATGTCTAGAATGACTTGAGGAAATTCGTCGCCATTCTCAACGATGGGTATCTAGTAATTGATAATGATCGTACAAATTATATCCAGGATCGAACGTGTTTCATACCATCAGAGCACGATTTAGCGGCAGTCGAGGACAGTCGGAATCTGTGATGGCAATCAACAGAATGGAATTCTCCTGGGTGTTCTTGTAAAACTTCCAGGTATTCTCGCAATCCGTCACCGTAATGGCGGCCAAAAAATCTGCAGTACATCAGATTAACCACCCAACTATTATAATAGCTAAAAACCTCACCCTTCTTCAATCGCACTGCGTTCCAGGTGAAATATTTTACATTTATACCACCGTTCCTCAGATTCTCCCGTATTATGTCGCTCAGGATCTTCTCGACATGGGCCATTATGTTCTCCCCACGCATGGTCATATATTCTTGATCCACAACAACGGCTTGTCAAGCAATAAATGTTGATTTTTTTTGCGTAAAAATTCCTTGTAAATCCAAAACTCACCCAGCGAAGCGTTGGCGCTCAGAAAAGAGGAGAAGTCATTGGCCTCGATTGGAACCAGGATAAAGAGCTGCATTCCAAGAAGGAGCAGAAGGCAAGTTGATGACCGCATATCGCCAGGATTTCCAAATGAAGACTGAGAAGGCGAAACCCATCAAGGCAACGAGGTTACCTCGCTGATAACACTAAACCCAATTAAAAGCAACCCGCGTGTGCAATAGCCATGAAAAATTGATTGGGGAGAAAGTGGAAAAGCCTGGTGATTGACGGTTTGCGGTTAGGCGTCGAGCGGCACATCGAATGTCAAATCAGACGCAGGTGTTCATCGAAGGATATCAATTTTTGTTAACTTGTTTTATTTAATTGTAAGTATTTTATGAAATTGTTCGTCAGAATTGCCTGTATGAGCGGTAATTACATTTTACAATCTTATATCTTAGGGGGACTGACAGAAGTGTTGAGGAAAATGGGAGAAAGTTGGGTTAATATATCTAAGCTATGAATTACAACTCACTTAGGTTAGATCTACTGGCTAGGTCCGTTGAAAATATCCGTTTTCGATTGTGTAAATTGTGTCCGGCTTCTTAGGGTTAAGAATGCGTTGATCTTGTCGTCTGGGTTATATGCATGTCTATATATAATTTAGCTACAATTACGCCTATAGGTCAATTCCCAAAAATGCTTTCAAATATAAATGCAATACGATTTCGATTTGGTTGCAAGTGGTTGTGGTTCCTTTAGTGTTTAGTTTATGTATATGATTATTACGAGTAAGTTACGAAAGGGAGTATAACCTGTATAAATATATATGTATATATATGCCTCAGGGTGCATATGTCTCTCATATGTAGCTTGAATCTATGTTAATATCTGGTTCCACGCCGCCATCAAACTGGTGCGCAAAACGTTTTAATGGTGCCTCCGGTATATTCAACTCTACAAATTTATGGTCACTGATCCCAAAACTATCGAGTATCCGGTAAACACTAAGGTTGATTGGGCTGTCGAAAATTGGCTATTTCGTCTATTGCTCTTGATATATGCTCTACCGGATTGCACGTTCCCATCTTTACTAGCATTTTTCGATTGATCTCCCGAGACCTGTTCGTCGTCTAGACCCATTCGTCTCGGGTTTACGACTTTTCTCATTCATTCAGTATCGCACTGAGGCGCTCCTCCACGGCGACCTTGCGTGACTTCCACACGAACTCGCAGACGGCGATGACGCAGGCCACGCCCATGCCGCCCATGAGGACCACAAAGACGCCCCCGACATTGGCCAGTCCCAGTTCATTGGCCGCCGATGAGGATTTGGAGGTCTCCACGCGGCACTTGCCACCGCCGCGCTTTTCCTTCCACCACTTCGTTTTCAGAATGTGCAGCTTGCCCTCCTCCTGCAGCTTGAGTATCACGCTGTTGATGGCGGTTCTATAGGGGGAATCTGTGGACGGAATAGATCATCAGTTGGTTAGGGATCTGATCAGTGTGATGCCAAACTTACTGGGCGGAGTGGCTATGCCATAACTCTTGGTGTCCAGCATTCCACCAACTTGCGTCAGCTCGCAGTTGCGCTCGGTCACATATTCAATGGAGGTGGACTCCATTAGAAAGGCATATGATCCTGAAAAATTCAATATTATTAAGTCAGGTTCTTTAAGAAATTAGCTGACCCACCTTTTCCCTTGGCCACCCGCTCAACTCCTTCGCCATTGCTGGCTGTGAAGACAGAGGGACGAGCTGATTCCATGAAAGACCACATGCGCTGATATGTGGAGATCTTAGAGTCCTGTAAAGAAATAGTTTTATACCATATTAGCGGGGATTTCATTTCTTGGTCCAAATCAATGTTGATACTTTGGCTTTTACACAAGGTATAAGTAGATTATTATTTTCTTAACTTACCCTGAAGAAAGCAGCTGTGCTGCCGCCCTTCAAGGCGCCGTATTTGATTCTCGTTTGCTTGGCCAAATCCTCGGCACTTTCGATGGGCGAATCCATACGCTCGACAGTCAAAAAGGCGGCCAAATTGGCAGTGTACGATGAAATCATGATCAGGGTGAAGAACCACCAAATGCCAGCCACCATGCGGGTGGATAGAGCCCTGGAATATAGTTTAATATATAGTTTAAAAGGGTCTAACGTAATCTCAGATAAAAACTTTACTTGGGCAGGAAATCACAGCCCTGTTGCATCAGCGATCCAATGGCAAACCACATGCAATTCAGCAGGGTGAACTGACTCTCGACCTTCTCGCCATGGGCATCCGTATAGGCAGGCCATTCGTAGGGAGTGAACCTTTATAAAGTACATTATTAGATGGGAGAATCATGATAGAATGTACTTAACCAACTTAGCCAGGATGAACAGGAGCACAGAGACACCCAAATAGGCGGTGGCCATGTAGATCCACACATCCAAGGAAAGAGGAGACAGGAAGGAGAACAAGTTGGGTGGCTGCTTGATGGGCTTCCGGTACAATATGGAAACACCCAGGTTCATAAAGGGTGTGGTGAAGTCCACCGCCTGCTCTCGCTCAAAGGTGATGGTGAGATCTGCAATGGCCAAGTCGGCACGCTGCTCCAGTAACTCCCGGATCATGCCGTTCCATTCGCTAAAAAGGTAAGATTTTATTAAAAATATTATATTGAAAGTAATATTTATGGTCTTACCCCGTCAGCTTATTAAGACTTCCATAGCTGCCATCTGGTACTAGTTGTATTTTATAGTTGAAGCCCAGAGATTTAGAGATCTCATGGATCAGATCCACTGCATAGCCTTCAAACTGATCATTGCCACTTAGTGGAATAGCCGACTCCTTGCGCATGCAGTAGGGATTACTCTGTGAATTATACAACTATTAAGTAAGTATCTTACAAATAATAATAAACACTTTTATCCTTACCAATATGGTGGTGACCACCAACGTCTTATTCTTCAGATTGGCCTCGATCTCCTGCTGCTTTTGGCTGAAGGTGCGTGTGAAGTTGATGCCATCCGGCAGCGTGGAGTTCCAGGTGCCGATCTTTCGGATGCCCGCCGGAGTCAGCTCCACAATGTCCAGCATAAAGTCCGTGCGGAAGCCCTGGTGATCGAACTTAATCACATTGGTCAGGCCCTTCATCTCGACGATCTTCATGTAGTTGATCAGACTGAAGCCGTGCTGCCAGGTGCTCTGGCCATCGCAGCTGATCGGATGGATGTCAATCTGCTGGGAGGTGTCCAGGTCGTGCAGCGCCTTGGCGAACAGATGCACTGCATCGTACATGAGAGCCGTTTCGGATCGCACGGTGGTCAGATTGGCGGATCGCAGCAGACCCTTCTCGTCGATGCTCCACTGGCGCACCACGTCCGATACGATCTTCTCGTTGATCAGCCGGAATCCGGTGATATTGGTCCCGCCGTACCGGAACTCATCCAGGTTGACTGTGTGCAGATCCAGCGAGGTGACCAAGTAGCTGTGATAGTCGCTCATCATGCCAATCTGCTGCGCCTGCTTCAACACCTCGTGGATGCGCTCCGTGGAACAGTCGAGCACAATGTGCGCCTCCGCCGAGTTTTTGATCTGCTTCAGCAGGGGACTGTAAGGGTGAGTAAAAATTCAGAATTAAAATTTATTGTTAGAATATTAATTTAGCTTATAATATAAAGTTTAGCATATTTTAGCAACAAAGTATTGAATGTACGAGTAGATGCTCTTAACGTTGGTATACATGATCTATTTTGTCAAATAATACGTCAATGTATCATTCTCATCCTAATGAGTATTTGGACGGTGGGTATATATGTGTGTAAATCTATTTAAAATTAAATTTCAGTCAAAACTTTTGAGCTTTGAAATATAATCTTTTAATAAGCAACGCCCAATAGCAAAGCTAGAGTTTTAAACCGATTAAAAAAAAATCGCAACTTATTTTTATGTTAGTTAAATATCTATAATAATCTTGAAATTGGGAATATCCAGGGTATGTTATAGGTATTATAACAATAACTATATAATTTTAATTAGTTGATACTTCAATTTTAAAGCCATATCAGAACAATCAGCTTTCAGAAAATGTGTCGCATATGTGGGTCAAAAAATGCTTAATTCCCCAAAAAGTCGGAACCGGTGGAAACGATTAGCTGGGCTCACCGGTAATCCCCGCTGTCGCTCAGCTGGCGCACAGTAATGGGAAACGGCGTCATCCCGTGGGCCTTGAGGAGCTCCTGCAGCCGCACGATGCCGTCATTGTTCTCGTAGATAATGGTGAAAGTCTTCCAGCCCCAGTGTCGCACGATATCCACGTAAGCCTAAGAGCAACAGAAAACAGTTTTGCGGGGGTTTGGGGGATGCAATTGCAGCTGCCTACCTTGGAGAGCGTATTAGGGTGCGGATAAAGATTCACCAGGCAGCTTTCGCGTCTCAGCCGGTAGTCCCAGCGATTCTCCAAGTGGGGAATCTAAAAACGAGTGTGTTATTCAAAGGTTTGTAGGGGGGAGATATCTCAGGACCCAGTACTCACCTCCATGTTGTCGCAAATGCTCTGCACATGGCTGGCGGTGTGGGAGGATTGTGGCCCAAAAATGGCTGCCACACCGATGTTCAGTAAGCCACAAACTGCAAGACAATTGAGGTTTATGTGTACCCAGTTATTTGCAGCTCTTTGACGAACTTATGTGTGTAGTTTTTCGAACCCTGTTTTCGCAAAATCAAACCCAACCGCTGTAAAATATCTACGAGGTCCGCCAATGGCAAGGAGTAACTTCTGACATTCTTGCCTTATGGCAAATTGAGTGAAACACAAATCCCAAAGAGCTTAAAAGTCGCAAATTGATTTTCAAGTAACGTGCTCTGTTACCATTCCCATTCTGAATCCCAATCCAATCTGCTTGTGGGGGAGATAATCTGGGGAGGCTGCGACTTGAAAGGCTCAAAAAGTAAAAATGCGCCCAAGTAGCGCAGTAATGTGCTTGGCTTTTGGCTCAGTAATGTTCAGTTAGCCTCGTTGGCATATTTAAAATGCACTTCAGTATGACATAATTTCGTTTAGCCCGTTTGGCCTTTCCTTTTAGCAGGTTTTTCCCCATTCCGACAGTCAGCCGGCATCCTTTTTGGCTCATCAAACGCGCTAAGCACGTGTAAGTGCATGTGCACCTGCACTTCGATGTCCTGGCTCTGTGATGCGGTTAACCTGCTCCCAGGACTTTGTGGACGGATGTGTAGGTGGAGGATACTGTCTACCTCGTTGCCTCGTTACCGTCGTGCTGAAGTGTGGTTTACTCTCCTTTGGCCAAGGTATTTTTCCTTTTGGCCCTGTTCTCGGGCCAACTTGGGCGTCATTTGTGTCTCATTTATCACAGGACATTCGACAGTTGGCTCACGTTCCTTTGCCGCTTTACGATTCATCTTCAGCTTTTAACGATTATCAAGTGCCAGAGGAGTTTCACCTGCTGCCCAAATAGCCACAATAAACTGAAAATGGCAGACTGGCCGGGCTTACACATCGAGATATTTATCTGGTTGAATTTCAAAGGGACAACCTATTGGTTTCACCTGGTTTTTTCCAATTACCTTTTAAGGTTTTTTTCCTTTTTTTCCACAGTGTAATAGGAACCGAGTTTACCTTTTTTTTAACCATTCTTGTCTGATAATGATGAAACTATGATTAATAGTACCTATTTAATTGCTTTTCTCTTATAAATTGTGAACTCTTAGTTACAAGAAAAACCTATATATACCGAATTTTATATGTATAATTCAGTTTAAATCATTTGAAGACACAAATCACTTCTTCAACAAACTTTTAAAATCTATTTAATTAACAACAAACCCGTGTCCCCGTATACCCTTATCTATTCAGATATATTCTAGGAATATGCTTTTTTAAATGTTTCCTATTCTTATTAATGGTTTTCAAAATATTTGTCAATTTTTTTAAACACTACGCTTTCAAAAATGAAATTAAAAAGGTTATAATCTTTTTTAAACTGTTCTGATGATACAAATGCCATCAAATGACAAATCACATTTATTGCCAGTTCAGAAGCTAAAACAGATTCCAGTCCCCCAGGCAGCAATTAGCATACCATAAATCGCAAATCAAATGCAAAGAGCAAACAAATGGGTAAATCAAGCACAAGCCAAAATAGAAACAAAGATATGTCAATTCAAGGATGACAAGGGAACTCAAAGAGGATACGACAAAAAAAAAGAGATGTGTGTACATATGTCCAAATCAAATATGCAGGTAAAAGCATCAGGTGAAGGTGAAGTTTACGCTGAGCAGGAGGCTAAGCCAAAGGCAAAGGCAACAGGGTGAAAGGGTGAAAGGTGACGGAACAGTGGGACAGTGGGAAACCAGGCCAAGTCAACACCTGTACAGTGTGCCCTCTTTGCACTGAACTCACCCCTTTTTCCGGCGTGGAAGCTGTCGAAGGGCGAGATGCGCTCGATTTGGGCCACCAGTTTGGAGCGCGGCAGGATGGATCGGTCGGCATTGATGCGGTCCACGGCCTGGCGGAACGCCAGCTCCTGGTGGTCGTCGGCGGGATGGAAGAGCCCTCCTGCGGTGACAAATTACAGAACGTGATTCTAGTTGGGCTCGGGCACAAGGCTCAAGTGTATCAAATATTTTTGGGCTCCACTCCCGCGGTGCCCAAAATAAAAACAAACAAACAAAACACCAACACACCCGCGTCTATCAAATACACAAACTCGTACACTGAAAGGCGTTCTTGATTATGACGTGTAAAAAATCGATAAGTAACGCAGATGCGAGCTGGAATTTGTTTTCATCTGGTTTTTGCCGGAGTCCCTTGAGTTTCTTCTCTATTTCATTCGAGTTCCCATCTTTTACTCACCTATCTTGATGATATCGGGCAGTGATTGAGCTTCTCGGCAGTTCAAAGTTAATTGTAGCAGCAGCATTAGCGGCAGGACCAAAAACCGTCTTGACCGCATCTTGAAATCGCTTGAGATGGCAGCTTCCGGTTTCACTTGATTGCCCCACTATATCAATATCAATCACTTGTCACTCGGCTGATTTACGTATCTAGCAGATATTTATCATTTTCACTTGGCGGCAATCCCGCTGTGTGTTTTCTGATTTTTCTCGGTTTTATGTTTTGATTTTTTCCGAAATTCCGCTTAACCGCTTTCTGTTAGGATGTGACATCCACTGAGCTGCGTGTGTTTGATGTGCCTTCTTTTATCCTGTTGCGGAATCGCCCGACGAGGTGGGGTGTTTTTGTTGCCGATAGTGGGGTGGGGTGTCCAGCATCCAAAAGCCGGCTGACAGTTCCAACAGCTGCGCAGTGGATGCTGCGAGAGCGGACTTATAGGGGTTGCCACCCCATTCGATAGATGAGCTTTCCATCCTGAAGGTCGTTGGTGGGAAACCATGGTAATCTGCTGCGGGATAAAAACTGCTTGTCGACAATGTGCTTGATAAGCTTTTATCGTAATTGGAACTTGAAACATGGTAACTGAGGTTCCACAAAGTTGGAAGCATCTGTTTGGTGATTCGAATGAGTTACTGGCTCAAATATTTTCTGTAAATTTGTTTTAGCAATATATCAACTATAATGCACTTGAAGAACTTAAACAAAATTGAAATGGTATATGAATTTCCTATAGATGTTAAAGGATCCTTAAAATACTTGGGATACTGGGTTAAAAAAGTTGTTTCGATTGATTTCGATCTTTAATAATATGTATGATAATACAATAATAATATATATGACTTAAATAATAACCAACGTGTTATAAAAAAAACCACTTCTTCCTCTTAAATAAGCTTTACCGAACCATTTTTCCATTTTGTTTTAAGAACGCATCTTATAATCTTATTAAAAGTTAGCCGATTTTCAAAATAATGAGCTTTAAATTGCGTTAGAACTACTGAAGTATATTTAAATTCATTCATGCAATTATAGCACCCAGCTTATTATATTTAAACATATAATCCTTTTATTTTGGACTGAAAATTAAGAAGCAAGGCTAAGTTGAATGCCATCGAAAGCGTTTATTATTCAGAATTTTCATTTCGCGTGGTGGCTTGCCGAAAAGCTGAAACCCCATTCTTAATCAAGGAGCCGCCCCGCCCTCGAAAGGTCCTTTAACATGCCGAAGAGGAAAAGGATTAAACGGCACAAAGGAAGCAGCCAGCGGAAGAGGGGCATAAATAAAACAGAGAGCTCATTATGCCGTTGACCGCGTTGAGCTTAAAGTGCAAGGATAATGCAAAGCGGCACTGATGGGGAAATGCATGCGAATGGCGAATGGCGACTTGAAGTGCAGGCGCGTAAATGTGAGGGTATTAACAATTTAACAAACAAAGGCAAAGGGCCATTAATAACACACAACAACGGTTCTGCCGCTTAATATACCCACAATCGCACACACATACATTATGCATGTGTGTGCGGCCATAAATACAGAATGTTGTCGTTGCGGGAAAATCGTAGCGACTCGCGCCAAATATCATCAAGCTCTGTTGCCTGGCAAATGAGTTGGTTCAGTGAGATGCGCCAGGTCCAACAGCACTGGAAAAAAATGATATCTAGGTATATGTCCTGAATGAAAAACAACAAATTCTGGTATATATCTTGTATCATATCGTAAATCATATCATATATCATATAATATATCATATAGTATCGTATATCATATATGAGACCTCAACATTTTTCTCAAAAAACCTTAAGCTAAATAAAGAAGTTATATAAGTAGCAGTTATTCGAAGTAGAATAGAAATTGAAACAAGGAAGAACGCTATAGTCGAGTACCTCGACTATCAGATACCCGTTACTCAAAGGGAAATGGAGATATGCAAGCAGCAAAGCGAGATTAAAATGCGCCACCTACCGGCGGTAGACAGATTTAAGCGTTATGGGCGTTAGAGTGGACGTGGCAAATTTATTTTTGGATCAATCGATAGGTATTGACGACACCAATACATTTCAGTTAAAATTTTTTATCTAGCATGCAAATTGTGGGCGTCACAGGTTTTCGCGGTTTGTGGGCGTTTAAGTGGGCGTGGCAAACTTTTTTTTAGGTCAATCGATAGGTATTGATGAGAACAATACATTTCAGTTAAAATTTTTTATCTAGCATCAAAACTGTAGGAGTTACAGTTTTGGGCGGTTTGTGGGCGTTAGAGTGGGCGTGGCAGTCTACTGAAACAAACTTGCGCTGCGTAAGAAGCTCAGGAATCTGTACGCCAAATCTCAATAGCCTAGCTCTCATAGTTTCCGAGATCTCAGCGTTCATCCGGACAGACAGACGGACAGACGGACAGACGGACATGGCTAGATCGACTCGGCTAGTGATCCTGATCAAGAATATATATACTTTATGGGGTCGGAAACGCTTCCTTCTGCCTGTTACATACTTTCCGACGAATCTAGTATACCCTTTTACTCTACGAGTAACGGGTATAAATACAATATTACCGTCTACAAGTGATTCCAAAAGATACGTAAACCCCATAGTCTTATAATGCGGAGAATGGAACAGAAATCTGTAGAAGCTTGGAAAATCTTTATAAGGTGTTCAAAAGTATGCTACGTTTTATGTTAAGACTAGAGGACAAATTCAGAAAGAACATGTATGTTATTCGAAACATTCGTAGATATAGTCACTATTTAAAATGGTTCCAAACCTTGAGTGATACTTATGACTTTCGAAACAATTCCAAAATTGTTCTCAGTGTGCTCGCACATGAGTGTGAGAGTCTTTCTTCCTGTATCTGCAGTTGTGTCCGTGTCGCGGTGCCTGTGTGTGTAATCATGCATATCTTTGCCAGTGGGTTTTCGGTTAGTGCCTTATTTACATTGGCCGGAAGCTGCTGGTTGTGCTTGTTTCCGCTTTTGTCTGTGCGACTTCATCACCATCTGTCTCCCCTCTCGTTCTGCTCTAGCAGCCCTCCTGCTCGCACTCTTTTTCGTGCTTCCTTCGCTGTGGCAATGAAGTAGAGCAATGGTCTGGCTCATTAATTTCAACATAACGCGCACATGGCCAACAAATTTTCCCACGTACGCACACCTATAAATTGCACACCCACACATAAGGGGCGGACCTAGTTGGCTCTTTGCTTTCAGCGGTAATTATTTCAAATTAAATGGCGAAAGCACTTTTGAAGCAGGTGCTCCCGAAAGTATGCTGCATATTATTAGCATCAGTCAGGGCGGAAAAGTAGAGGCGAACTTTGATAAGACCCATTAAAAAAACATATAGTTTATATTTCGTATTTATGAAATAACTTCTTAAATTCTTCAAGTAACATGCTTAAAGGTCAGAATTTTTAAACATTAATATTTAATATTGTAAAATATTTTATCGAATCCTTGTTAAACAGAAGCATTATTTGAAAACAAGCTTACAAATACTTAATATTTATTTGGAATAAGGCTTTAACAGAGGTTCCACAGTTTTTTTTTGCTTCAGGCATGCTTTGATTTCGTGACTCCTTTGTTCCAGTACTGTCTTGAGCATGAGATTGCATTTTGATTCCCCTTTCTGGCAGACACTAAGCGTGATGGATAAAGTCGAAGAGGCATCTGACTTTTGGACTTTCTTCTCACTCCCCGTCTGTCTGTCAGTCGTCTGGCCCCCATCAATTTGGCCTTTGGGCTGGTTTTATTATCCCAATGCTTATGGAAATGCTGACAAGGTTGGCCCGTCATGTCTGACTCGTAGGCTAAATAATTTTAATAATGCAAAGTGAGATATACCCACATGTGAAGGTTATGCCCGGAGCCATAGCATTCCAGGGTCAAGGGGACCTCGAAAATATTTTCGCATTGTGCATGAATGTAAATACATTTTTGGGGCAGTTAGTCATCTTGCTCGTTCCATTCGGTTTTTAAGGGAGTCACAAGCAACGAGAGATGAAAGCAAAATACCAAAAAGAAAATGGGGAAGTGGAAAACTGTTGCCTTTGGTCAGGCAAATGCAGTGCATTTTCCCTGCCAAGCTTAAAATAATGTATGTAAATGCCCGGCTTTACTTACTGATGTGTAGTTTCACATAGAATTCTCCATATTTTGCACAAAGAATTTGGCTTGGCATTCCATTTTTGTTTGTTCCTTGCCATTATTATTTTTTGTTTAGAACTTTACCGCTCAGACAAAAGGCTTTGGGTAAACCAGAAAAATAATAATTTTCACTTTTTATAGCTCTGAATACAAAATTCGCTTTGTAGTTATCCGTTTAATTAGTTTTTAAATATGGTTAAACGGTAGCTAAAGAGTTGTGAAAATTTCAATTAAATCCTTTTAATAAAACCTAACCCATAATTTATGCTTTGCCTGATTATTTAATTTACCATGCTACCTAATTAAAAGTTTTTTTTATCTTCAACGGTCTTGTTTTTATGCCTTGAGCGGACTATTGCCAATTAAAACGCGCACAAAAAGCCACTCGAACAGCTTTTAGGGAGAGCACTTTCGCATTTGTCCTGCACTTTATTTTTTTGGTACACACCAAGGACACTCTATTAGTGTTTTTAGAGCATTCGACAGGCAATGATGTCACATGTCTGGTGGCAAGGACGTGTGACGCATTGGAGTAGGAGTGGCATATGCAACAAATTTGTAAGGACGCTATTTAATACTATGTCAGCTGCTTGGATGCCTTCGCTGAATGAATGGATGTGGCTGAAGCCCCCGGGGAAACGCCCTCGAATCCTCAGCTCGAAGGCGTCTCGTTACTGGCTTATACTTTCGCTTTGGCCCGCTTTTATGGGCGCCCCCTCAAATCCACTTTGTAAGCCATTCCATTGGTAATAAAGGCGAAAGTGAGTGCCGCTAATATAAAATTGAATTTAAATATATGGAGTAGGGGACGGGGCCGTAAAAAGCCGAAAAGCACCGCGCTTCGATTCTGATTTGATTTGTTTGGAGGCGCACGCCCAGCACTTAGGCGCCATTTGATATGCAACAATCTTTGGCGGCAGACGA